TTGGCAGCACTTAACAACAACAACAATAACCACCACACTACAAGTATTAATAACCCAGTTTTCCACAATATCATTAGGTTATAAAATAGTCTCTCTTGACAACTTTCCACCTTCTGGTGGCTGCAAAATCCACCTGCCACACCAGCTTATCATCCTGGTATGCCTGCTAACTGAACTAATTAACAGGTTTATAGTCCCATGCCTCCTTTAATGGATAATTTTCATTTTGCATCATCACCTGGTCATGGAGATCTGTATAAATACAGAGGGCATATATTTGCATTCTTAATGTCTGAAAGTGTGGATTTTCATCCAAGAAAGTTCACTATGTTACAGTACCACAATATTTTGCCTTTTTCCCTCCTGGGAGTATAGGTGTGTGTATATATATAAAAAAACTTTTAAAACTCAAAACATAAATACTCATTGGGCTCAGAAAAATTACTTTTTATATCGCTGTTGGTCATACTTGTTCAGGAATTCTGGGAGCTGTAGTCCATAAAAGTAATGTTCAGAATGTGGGTCAAATCGCAAAACTCTTACAAATTAATAGTTATACTTTAAAGAATAGCTGTTACCTTAGTGCTGCCTCCTGCAAACTAGGAGAAAGCCTATGTTTTATTATTCTAAAATGCTAATTAGAACATAGTTTAATCTGTGTCACAGAGGACAACTAAAAGTGACAAGTAACTTAGATGAATGATGTTGGCACATCATTAGGTGTTGCTGAACTTTCACTTTTGCTATCAGCTCTCCAAAGAGAATATGGCTTAGGGGAGAGGCTTTTCATTGTGAAATAGACCAGGCCTACCGGAACAACTGTCATGTAATAATACTGCCAATGTTTTTTGTATCAGCAGCTATGGAGAAATTGGGCATGTATGACTGTACCTCTTCCCCATTTAAGAATATCAACACACATCCTATTTTTTACAGTTTGCAATCTCTTTCCCACTATGGTGATCAGTCATTTGATTTGGCAATTACACTGGGGATTCCCTCTGCAAGGACTGTTCTCTAATTGCTGGGGGCTTCTCTGTTAAAACAGACTGACAGAAAAAAGGGGGGGGGTGTTTACTCACAACAGTATCCCCTCTCCCCGGCTTCCTTTAATTTATGCACCGTTAATATGAAACAAACATTGACTACCCACAGGTTTTCAACTGGCAAGTGTAAGTAAAATGTATGTAGTAGAGTTAAATGTCATTTCACATGCATACACAATTTTCCTTTGAAAAACAATAAATGAAATAAAAAAGCCAGGGCAACCCTAGTTAGTGGTGAATTCTAAGGGTAATCAGCTACTAAGCAATTTGGAGAGGTGAGATGAGGGGATTGATGCAAATCGATACCCCAAAACCCAGGAAAGGCCCTGTATTATTCTACAGAATATGCAAGGGATTCTATACCAACCATGATGATCAGGAACATTCACTCTTTTGTACTTGCCTTAATATTATGCAAGAAGGCATATAAACCACGTATAAGCAGGTGTATTTATTTATAAATTCACTTCAGATGTATAAAGTAGAATTATCTCTGCAAACAATAATTCCCTTGCTTTGTTTATCTGAAATTTGGCAAACGACTAGAACCTCTGAGCAAAGATCCTTCTGTTTTTATTTTGTTTAAATTGCCCTCTCCCCTTAATACCCAACAACTAAGAGCTTGTTTTCAGTGCAGCTATTTAATACTCTGAGCTCCACAGCCAAGAGCAAGCATTTTAAAGGTACAATAGCATCAATTCAAAAGTTCTGCCTCAAATGTCAAGATTGGCTAATTGTATAAGTATTAACTGGAACAATTCTTTTCATTTAAGTAGATTTCACCTTGAAGTGTGTCCCCAAGGTACAGTCTAAGAAAGAACAATATAAAATGCTGTGTTCAGAACTTGCAAAAGCAGCAATTCTCAATATCCAGGTCAAACCACGCATCCCAAAAGAAACCAAATGAACAATTCACATGTGTAGTACTTTCAAAGGAAATAAATGTTTGACTTCAGCTGCCTGACCTCATTGTCCTTCAATTTTTCCTTTACTGCAAACATTACAACATTTCAGGAATATTACCATCAGGCATAAGGCTAGAACTGTTCACACCATACTGAATTTATTTATTCAATATATTTATAATACACAGGTTAGGGGCTTGCCCTTATAAAGAATTGACAAAAGATTCACTCAAAAGACACTTTAGGTATTTTTATAGCTGTACAGCAAAATTGGATAAATGTAGTTCCCAGGCCCTTTTTTGTAGCCTCACTAAAAAGAAATGCAATGGCTTTGCCATAGAAATTTGATAGCAAACCACTAAATGGGCCATTAACATCAATGGGGACACTGTTTACTAAAAATATTTTTCATGTTGACTGGTACAGGATATCTTTAATTAACTTCAATTACAAACCACCTTCTTGCCTTCTTCTTCCTCTGAAGTCAATAAATTAATCTCCTTTTACTTAATCAGACTTTCTGACTTGAAGGTTTTACCTCTTCCCTGTCCCTAAATTTTGCACCATCAATGCCTTCTTAAGAATTCTAGGGAACTCAAAAGCTCACTTGTTTGTAACTCTTCAAGTGATTCAGTAAAGGCAATAGTCAACCGAGAATTTTGTTATGTAAGCAGCCTTTTCAAGCTTTTGTTATTTAAACAACTCCTGCTCTTTCTTCTCAAATAGTAACCAAATTAAAAATGCACTGTTCTCAGAATTGACCTAAATTTAATCTATAATGAATAAAATGCAATAAATAAATCAATAAATATTAATTATACTTAATCTTTAATTTCATCTCTCTAGATTTTGGGGGAAATGATGGAGTAATAAATATGACATAATAAGTTAATTAACTATATTTACTATTCTGTAATAATTATTGTTGTTACATGCCATCACGTTGCTCCAACTTATGGTAACCCTATGCTCCTGTAAATCCAAATCTGTGGCTTTCATTAGCAAATTAATCCATTTCATATTTGGTCTTCCTCTTTTCCTGCTTTATATCTTTCCCAGCATTACTGTCTTTTCCAGGGAATCCTGCCTTCTCATGATGTGTCCATAGTATGACAGCTTCCGTTTCAGCATTTCTGCCTACAGAGACAATTCAGGCTTGATTTGATCTAGGGCCCATTTCTTCCTCTTTCTGGCAGTCCAGAGTACCTGCAGAGCTTTCCTCCAGCATTATGCTTCATATGAATTAATTTTTTCCTGTCAACTTTCTTTACTGTCTAACTTCCATCAATTTTTACTCCTTTTTCTTTGGAATATAGTCTGGCTTTCCATTTATGTTCTGCGCACAGATTGAGATAAAGCAACAAAATGCACCCTTGTCTGACACCTTTGCCTACAGGAAACTATTCTGTCTCTCCAAATTCTGTCCTAACTGTTGTTTCTTGTCCACAATACATGTTTTGCATGAAGACAATCAAGAGCTGAGGCACACCATCTCTTTCTGAATAACCCATAGTTCCTTATGATCCATATAGTCAAAGGCTTTGGTGTGGTCTATAAAGCACTGACTGATATTCTGAAATTCTTTGTTACACTCCAGTAGTCAGCAGATATTTGCAATATGATCTCAAATGCCTCTTCCTTTTCGGAACCCAGCTTGAACATCAGGCATTGCTCACTTCATATAAGATAAAAGGCTTTACTGCATCGTCTTCTTGGATATACAGTGTTGCCCTGCATGACGACGATAATGTGTTCCGTTAAAATCGCTGTACAGCAAAATTGTCATCATGCGAAAATAAAAACCCCATTGGAGTGCACTGAAAACCTGTTAATGCGTTAAAATCGCTGTACAGCGAAATTGTCATCATGCGAAAATAAAAACCCCATTGGAGTGCATTGAAAACCTGTTAATGCATTCCAATGGGGGAAATACCTGCTTGTGCAGCGAAGATCCTCCATAAGGTGGCCATTTTGCAATCCCTGTCTTGCGGAAATAGGCCTGGAAAACAGCGGGGAGCCATTTTGCGAACCACTGATCAGCTGTTTTAAATTGTCATATTGCGAACAATCAGTTCACGAAGCAGGGAACAAATCGTCGTTAAATGAAAAAAACCCATAGGAAAGATCATTTTACAAAAGGCATTGTCAAGCGATTTCGTCATTTAACAGGGTAAGCGTCTAGCGGGGCACCACTGTACACCATAATTTACACCAGCTTAACTGGTCTGAGTGTACCACTGAAAATGAGAGCAATACCATGAGAAGGTCAGACTTCATTATGAGGCTGAACTCCTATCAAGGTCACCCAAGGCAGCTGAGACACCAGACTAAGATGCAGCCACCCTCTTCAAGGCAGCTACTGGGCAGACGTGATAGCTGAAGGTGACACTGGTAGATGACGCAATGGCAGTGACACTCAAGTTAACTTTTGTTAGTAATGGTAAACTCTTGCAATATATATATAATAGGAAAAACCCTAATAATCTGTGCCTATGTCCTTAGGGCAAGTCCCCTTTGAGTTTGCATCCTTGGGCAACTGGCCAACCAAAAAAGTGGCCCCAAACCCATGGAAGTTGCTCACCTCTGTGATAAAATTGCCATGATTGTCTTCTTTAATATTTCTATTGAAGGGCTTGAATACAAGTAACCAGTACCCAATCATGTTAGTGTATGTGTAATATCAAATGGGTGTAATACCAAATGGGTGAAGGTGCCTGTTCAAGTACTCAAGTATCCTAAAACTTTTGGGTTTTTGGAGGTTAAAATGATCATCATGCTAGAGAAATTTTTAAAAAAGGATTTACTTCCAAAGTTTTACCCGGCATAAAAGAAAGTACAAGGCCAGATTATGTGTTCTTTCACTTTGCTATGTTGTTTTACATGCAGGTTCACAGAACTGTTTGCAGAAGGTTATGGAGTTGACTTACTAATGCAACATACAAGGGGAAGTGGTTTAAGAAAAAAATCTATGAACATTTTATAAGATGAAAGCAAGTCTCTGTCCTCTTGCATCTGCTCTGCCATAAATCATAGTAACAACATTACTCACCTGGAATCTGTGAACCAACTCCAGGGACTGGCTGTCATTTTGGTCAGCTTCAATTATGACATCTGTCAGTTTATGTATGATCACATCTAATGGGCCCTGATCTTCTATCGGTTTGGTAAGGTCAAGCTGGAGGGAAAAATATAAACAAAGAATAGGCATATTGCATAAAAGAATACATCTGTACTTTGTGGTTACAGTCTATAAGAAAATTCAGCCCCAGACAGAAAGATATAGTCCAGGAAATAACCATCCATTGGGTCTTCCCTACAAACTGAATACAGTGGTGCCTCGCACAACTATGTTAATTGGTTCCAAAAAATTCATCGCTGTGTGAAACCATCGTTCTGCAAAACACCATTTCCCATAGGAATGCATTGGAAACCGGTTAATCCGTTCCAATTGGAATGGATTGCCGTCCTTAAGTGAAAATCGCCATAGGAAACATCGTTGAGTTAAACCCGGTTCCCCAATTGAAATGCATTGAAGCCGACTCAATGCATTTCAATGGCTTTGCGAAGTCCTTTTTC